TTTGTTTTCCTGTTTTTTTTTATTGTATGGATGGTGATTCAGCATCCATACTATGTTTTCCAATTATTTCTTTATTGTATGGCTGCTGATTCAGCAGCCATACTATGTTTTCCAATAATTTCTTTATTTATTTATTGTTCATATGTGGTGACTTCAATATAGATTTGTTAAATCCTAACAAGCACACAGGACATTACAAGTGCTATGGATGAGAAGAAATACTCGATAGGAATATTTATTGACCTAAAAAAGGCATTTGACACAATTAATCATGAATTATTAATGGACAAGTTAGAAAAATATGGGATCAGAGGAGTGGCTCTGAATTGGATTAGTAGTTATTTGACACAGAGGCGTCAATTTGTGAAGTTGGGTGAATACCAATCGAGTGAGCTGGATATTGTATGTGGAGTACCTCAGGGTTCTGTTTTGGAACCTAAATTATTTATATTATACATTAATGATATGTGCAAGGTTTCTGATTTAGTGAAAGTGGTTTTGTTTACTGATGACACTACCATATGGGCATCGGGTGAAAACCTACAGCAACTCTCTGGACGGGTTTCACAGGAACTTGAGAAGATAAAGAAATGGTGTGAAATGATTTTAGCATATGGCTGCAATATAACAAAGAGTGAAAAATTTAAGGGGGTTTGAATACTTTCTGTACCCACTGTAAATAAACTTAAGACAGAGCCCTGGCACAACTGTGGATAGAATATTTAAGTAAAACCAGTTTGAAATGATTTTACACATTCGGTTAATGAGTGAATGAAACTGCATTTCCATACCATGGTCTTGAGGCCAAACATGATCTTCATGTGTTTGATGGTGGCCACCAGCCTGGGCAGCAGCCTGTAAGTGGCTTCCAGAAAGCAAATCACTCTTTCAAAGCGTTCCATGTCCCTCTTCTTCACAATGGAATACACCTGGGTAGAGGCAACATGCAGCCTCCATGTATCTTCAAGGCCCAGAGGCTGGGACTCCACCTCTGGCAAACTGGAAGGGTCCACAACTGCCAGGGGAAAACACGGAGCATGTCACATCCTACTCAGATTTCATTGCAATTGTCCATTTTTGAACAGTCGTCTACTATGTTTTACACTGACCAAATGTATTTTTAGCATGAAACGGTCCCTTTCAGCTTGTCTTATTACTATACATTTAATATTATTGAATTACTATTACTGAAGCATTTATATGTAAGCAGCATGTTAATGTAGCTTGTCAACACTGAGATACTGCCATTTAAACTACTTTAAATACTGTTTGTCTATTGTAGTTTAATATATAATTTACTAACTGACCACTTAATTTGTATGTAAGTTGTGATTAAATATCAATGTGTGGAGTACAATAAGCCAACTACAACTGTACTGTAATACAAAGTACACTAGAGAAATGCATTTTCTGAAATAAATTTGTATGGATGCCGAGTGCTGAAAGATCGCCCTGAAAATGCTGAATATTTTGACACCTGAATGGTTTGGCTAGCTGAAAGTATGCTGAAGAAGAATTTTCCCATTCATTTGAATAGGTCAAGATTTTCAAAATAAAGCTAAATATTTTAAAAGTATGAAGTTTAGAAAACTTCTGAAGAGAAGCATAAATGTCCTTGAAGAGCTGCACATTTTGATAGCTGAAATTATGCTGAAGTAGAATTTTCCCATTCATTTGAATGGGGCAGGATTTTCAAAATAAAGCTAAATATTTCAAAAGTATGAAGTTTAGAAAACTTCTGAAGAAAAGCATGAATGTCCTTGAAGAGCTGAACATTTTGAAAGCTTAAATTATGCTGAAGTAGTAATTTCCCATTCATTTGAATGGGGCAAGATTTTCAAAATAAAGCTAATATTTTAAAAGTATGAAGTTTAAAAATGTTTTGAATAAAAGCATGAATGTCCTTCAAGAATTGAACATTTTAATAGCTGAAATAGATGAAAGTATGCGGAAGTTGAATTTCCCCATTCATTTGAATGGGGCAAGATTTTCAAAATTAAGCTGTTTCAAGAGTATGAAGTTTAGAAATACTCAGAACAGAAGCATGAATGTCCTTGAAGAGCTCAACATTTTGATAGCTGAAATTATGCTGAAGTTGAATTTCCCCATTCATTTGAATGGAGCAAGATTTTCAAAATAAAGTTGAACATTTAAAATGTATGAAGTTTTGAAAACTTATGAATAGTAGTATGAATGCCCTTGAAGAGGTGAACATTTTGATATCTGAAATAGCTGAAAGTGTGTTGAAGAAAAATTTTCCCATTCATTTGAATGGGGGCAAGATTTTCAAAATAAACCTAAATATTTCAAAAGTATGAAATACTTGGATAACATAGTATGGATGCTGAATCAGCATCCATACTATGTTTTCCGATTATTTATTATTGTATGGATGCAGAATCAGCATCCATACAATAATAATAATAATAAATATATATATTGTATGGATGCTTGTCAGCATCCATACAATAAAAAATTTGATAAAATAGT